TACTTGTGCAATTTAAGTGCGTTGCTATCCAGTTTACTTTAAAGCAGTATCACACCTTTATATCCTACTGCTTTTTACCTGATCTGAGGTACGCGCAAACTTTAGAAATTAGTCTCCTCCTCTTCACTTCCCTCGTGTAGATACTTTATTTGTAGTTGCGATTCATAACCAGACTATGATTATATATTTACTTCCTTAATGACTGATACGAAAGTGATTTTCCACTGTGTTTGCCGGTCTTCAAAGAAAAGACTTTGCCATCCTATGCCGACCTGTTCTGATAATCTGATTTGCATTGGTCATCAGAATAATGCACCATAATAATGGACCAGCCGCTATTGACAAATGTTAGTTATCCTTTACTCACAAGGTTGAGGAAAGCCCATCGAGGCATTAGCAAACTAGACGGACGGAAAATGCCACTAAAAGCGGTGCACGGTTATGTTACCGATCACTCTTGCCTCTCTTCTCCAGAACTTTGTGAGATCCACATAAGCAGGAGTATTTTTATTTATTTTACTTGCCTCAGTACGCGATATTTAATACGATGAGGATCCATTTTTCTCAGAAGTAATTGTTTGTCTGTTCTCACTTTTAATTTTAATTTTTCTTTTGAAATAACGCCAACCAACTACAGATTCAGTCGCAAGGAAGTTCACAATATAATGCGCATACACAAAATGATAAGTGATGTTCAGTGAACAGGACACTCTCGAAAACTGAGTATTGGTTAAAGGCATAAATATTTGAAGTTTTATTACATACACATAAAGTAAGCGATTGGTCTTATGATGTAAGATCCCTGCCACCGTTTCACTCCATGTCAGGGTCAGTCAGGGTAAGGCCGTAGGGCTTCGGCTCTTGTTGGTCTCGTTCGTGGCATGTGAACAAGGTTCACATGCACGGTGTTCAAAACGCACACTCTATTCTCGACGCTGCATGACAGGCGCTAGGCCTAGGGTCAGGCTACTGATGAATGTTAAGCACCTAGCATTGTCTTCTTCTGCAATTCATTTGATACAGGTTGTTGTATAAGTAGAGTTAATTGAGGTAACGAAGCAACGATATTGAATTCCTGAAGTTGATGTTTCTTCTAACCTCAAAGAATAACGGACGATGGACGTGAATCATTCAGTGATGTATGATTTACTGAATAACATTAAGTAAAAGAATGTATGGTATTGCAATCCACCCTTGTCCTACTACTTGATAAGCCTGCTTCGACGTTTGATGAAGGATTAAAACACAAATGACCATAATTTAAAATTACTGCAAAATTACTTCAATGAGATTGCCTCCAAAATAGACTTCCGGTTTTTGATTCGTTGTCCGTAGGCATATAGATAGGTAATTGAGCGATTCATGGATTAGGGCATCAAAAGCAACAAATGGTGAAACCGTTTACTGGCAACGCGTTTTGCTGCATAGACCGTAACCACATCAGAGCTGGAGCGAGTACAAATGACTGTTTGAAGGCACTCATGTCCAACAGGTGAACAAAACTATTTTCCAATTAATTTGTACTTTACAATCAAAGCGTTGCTAAACTGATTGAATCAAATGGTAACCAATAAACATTGTGCAAAGTTCAGTAGTAACAGACTGGTCTTTATTATGTAGACCCGATTTGCATATTAGTTGTAGGATTGCGTCCCAGCTTTCACTGATAATCACGGAAGATGTGTATTCATTGCACATCCGGTTTTTCATTGTCAGTATATACAAGGACTTCTTTATCAGCAGATCTACTTAGATCGGTCTCTGTTTGTGATAGAGACATCAGTCCTTCGGTGATCACATGCTGGGCAATAAAGAAATCGTCAGCCTGTCCAAGGTGGACCACAGAAAGGTGCTCTTTTATCCTGATGTCCAATTTTCGGTTCGTGTTCACGGTGTACACCTTGTCGCAGTCTCTACATTGAACTTTATATGCCACATTTGATACGTCTTCGGGGTTACTAATGGGCATGTGTTTTTAAAATAAAATATTTCCCACTGTTCTGCCAGTCTTGTAGTAGACTCCAAACTCCACGTGACTGAGGTACCTCGGGATACGTTGAGACACCTAGGGTATGAATGGCAAATGACCATCGGTCCACATGGACTGGGCATCGTTAAGTTCGAGCTTGGGCGCGAAAG